GACCGGGATCGCCGGCCCCGTGTAATCGCACTCTAAACGCTCTCACTAATAATATGAATCGTTATTAGCTTGGACTTTGCTCAGGCCCTTCCCCCTCCTGCTAGGAAAACATGAAGGACGAACACAATGTCCTTCAACCGAGGAAAAACACTCTGTCGTCTCTAAGAGGCGCCTAAACCTGCTGTACTGCCAGTGGTGTGGTGGTGTGTGTGTGTGTGTGTTTTTGAAGGCCATGGAATGACCCATGGGAACTCTCCAGTTGCAGGCTGCCAGACCTGGCCTTGGCACCTCCAAAAGTAGCTTCTTCATCCTTGGAAAGGACAGCTGTTGTCCTCCGTGAACCGACACACGATCGGCCAATTAAGGGAGTTGGGTGGGGGGAGTGGCTTGAGGAGGCTGTGGGGGCGGGAGGGTTGGTGTTGGCCTGTGTGTGTGTGGTGTGTGTGTGGGGTGCACGGTGTTGTGTGGAGGCTGGTCGTATCGAGTGGCGGGGATTAGGTAAAGTCGGTTTTTTAACTTGTAAATAAAATGGACAGAAAACGATGAAACCTGGGAAATTTAGATCCAGATTATTCCAACGAACTGTATGAAGCATGTACCATGAGTGTGTGTTCGGAGTGTTGTGTCGTGTGTGTGTTGTGTGTGGTGTGGTTGTGTGTGTGTCGGCCAGTGCCAGTCCAAGTTGGCTCTGTACAGTAAACACCATTCCTCTCAGTCCCCACCTGTGGGGCAGAAGAAAAGAATCCATATAGATTTCAACAACAGGAAACATAATTGCTGGGTCCGATCCCTGCAGTTAGCAGGCTGGACCGTGTAAAGAAGCCTGCTGGGACGAGGGCGGGCTCACCTAAACCGGTGTAGCTTACTACAGACACACAGAGCCTGACAGGGCTGACCGAGCTGTAATGTTGCATAACAAAGGTGGATCTGTGCAGGGCAATAAGAAAACGTTCTTATTGGTCGATTCCCCAACGGTTATTCCGATGCGAAGCGTTTAGCAACCAAAAATCAGTAAGGTAGCGTGAAACCCTTTGAACAACACTGAGCGTCGGTGATACGTGTCTTATTTGATACTGATATCGTTACTTCTTATTAAACCTAAACCAAATTGATTGTTCCGAGTTTTTGCATTTAGCTTCATTTCACCCGCTGGATTTAGTAAAGTGAACATTTTATGTAAGTTACATAAATAGCAAAAACATTATCAGTAAACTCACTAATGTCATCATACTGCAGCAATACCATATACTTCTATCTCTATATGTTGTGTTATAATGTACTATAGCTCTAGTTTTACATGTATATGTACATACCTATATACATTTAATTGTTCTATATATAATGTGTTAGATATTGTAATATAACAAATACCGATAGCAGTATTGTTTGTCTAAGGAGCTAATCATATTTTGGTACTGACCCAGGAAGTCAGGAACAGAGCTTTATGTTATATATATATGAACATTGCGATATGGATATTCTTCTAGCCGATAGTTCACAGATTCTCTGTTGGCGAGCCAGTTCTGGAGTGAAATCAGACCTTAGAGGTCACCAAACCATCACAAATAAACCTCTGTGCAATGGGGTTTTTTGGGGGGGGGAAAAAAAAAAAAAAAAACAAAAAAAAACTTTTTGGCTTTTTAAGAAACCCAAAAACAAATGAGTTTTTTCAGGCATGTGTGTCTGAACAGCACTGTTAACTGGTTCTGTTTGATGTCCAGGCGGTGTAGTGAGACCGGTGGGTTGGCCGTGTAATTAGAGCTGAAACGATGAGGTGATTTATAGGTTGAGTTCAGTTGGTGGCGGGGGGGGGGGGTCCCACCAGAAAATGGAGGAATACAATAATTTTAACTTAAATATCACTTTTTTTTGGAAGCTCGAACAAGGGAAGAAAGGCAAGGGTTGGCTGTTTTTATTGATTGTCATGTTATAGTGAAGACTAAAATAAAAAGATTATGAGGAGATTCCTTAAGACTTAAGTTGTCCAATGTGGATCCGCACGTAAGGGCGTTCTTTGATATGAAACCTCCCTGGATCAGTCGATGGGGCAGAAAAAAGATTCAGCATGCACCTGAACTAATATTACAGTTTGGACCCAGCAAACCAACAATCAGAATAGCTCAAAATGTATATCTGGGAAATTTGGGAATGTGGCTTATTCACAATTTTATGATATTAATTTCTCAAGAAAAAACAACAACAGATTAATAAATATGATAAATCATTAATTGCCCTAACGATTCAGATCCACAACAGGTTAAGGCTTTAAAGAACAAAACTTTATTGTCACAATCATACACAGTAAAGGCAGGCCACCGTACGCCGCCTGGAGACCAAACTCAACATCGGAAACCTACGCAGGGGGGGTTTCACACTGATTGTGTAACAACTGAAGTCATGTTTGGATGAGTTTCATACAGAATAATGTGTGTGTCTGTGTGCTTTTCGTTCAAATAATGGAAGCAGATTTCACGCAAAATGTGCGAACTGACCATGAAATTACACATCAGAGACTCGCTGTCACCACCACAGTACACACACACATACACACACACACACACACACATACACACAGTGCAGGACCCCACCAGTGCGTCCATCATTACAAACATGTTCAGCTGAGTTTTGTTTAAACTGTTAAACTGTTAAACCTTTGGGGGACTTTTAAATGAAGCTGAATGAAAAACAAGAGAAAGTGTCCCTGAAGCTCACACATAGTATAAGTATATGAACCCTAAACCGGTGGTCCCCAACCTTAATCCTTAAGGGATCCCTTTTCTATTTTCAACCCCTGAGTCAGTACAAACAACTGCACAATGAACACAAACAGTGAACACAAACAGTGAACACAGTAACTGCAGGAAGTTTTCTGATGGTTTTAGGAAACTTTTTATACAATTCTCTGTCTGTATTGTGTATTTTTAACAATCATACATTCTATCTAAGCAAACTTTATCAAGTTATTTTCACAGAATTAAACAAAATACAGGCCTATTGGCCTACTGTGTAAATGTTTTAAGTTTTCTTACACCCCTTAAAATCAAGAAGGCCTCGCAAACCCGCCGTAAATCTTTGGCGACTCCGAGGTTGGGAACCAATGTCCTAAACATTTCCTTTTGAGGAGGTAAAGGAGATCTGTATGAATCAACATTGTGGCACATATTGTCTTCTGCAGGTACACATATTCACCTTTAACTCGCTAACTTGCTCGTTATTAGTTATTATAAAGTACTTATTAATGCCTTTTTTTTTAGGAATACATCGTTAGAGAGTTAACAGATACAACTATGTGAAGATTCAAATTGGTGAGATGAAGATGAGTTGTATCAAGGAGAAAAGACTTTATAAAAGTTTATACCTTAACTCTTAAATAAAAAAAACTAAACTACAAGTGTTAATAAATAATTCTAAAGGCCCAAATGCACTGAGAGCTTTTTAAAGTACGCCGTCGTATTACATGGTCCAAGAAACACCAAGAGAAGCTTGCTTGGTTGCTTTTGGTGCGTTGGGACATTCAATTAATATGTTTCCCTTTCTAAAGCGACGTCTTGCTCACCACTAATATAAGAGCTTGAGCTATTAAACTTTATTGAAATCTCTTAAAAATTATCACAGTTTAAAGAACCAGTGTGTAGGATTTAGTGGCATCTAGTGGTGTAATTACAGATTGCAACCCACTCACTTTACCCTCCCTTTCCAAGAGCGAGAGAGAAACTACGGTGGCTGCAGAAATACAAATGTCCGAGTTTAGTTGTCTAACAAAAACACAATTCTTATATTCAGGTGATTATACACTAATAAAAACATAGCACAGCAAAACATGAATATTATATTGCATTTAGATCCTCCTAAACATTACACACTGGACCTTTAAGTTAAAAATGTCACTTTAGTCTTCTCTGGAGTACATTGAGGGGTGAACCCTTGTTTTCAGTGACAATAACAATTATTATTATTATTAACAATATGAACAAAAAAGAAAAGCAATAAAGACACAAACATCAACATTAGTTAAAAACAGACTCATTATTAGAGCACTTACATGCAAAATCATTAAGATTAATAAGCATATTTCTAACCTTCTATAATCTTCTGACTTCTAATCTGAGTATAACTAAAGTTCCAACGTATAATATTTGCATAAAAATGTATATGTAATGTATATTTGCACAAAAATTAATCCCCTCAGGGACAATAAAGTTTATTCTATTCTAATTATGTTTTGCATCATTCTGCAACATCAATACAACAATTAGTACAAGATCATTTAAAATCCGCAAATAAATAATCCAAATTACTGTATTAAAGGAAAGTGTGTTCAAAGTTTACACACACACACACACACTGTGCTGACTCACTGAAGGAGCTTTGTGTGTGTGTGTGTGTGTGTGTGTTGCATGTGTTGTTTTGGGTCGGCTGCAACTGTCAGGACAACGACCCGTCTAATCTGCACCTGCCACTGACACAGCAAATGTACGTCTACACACACACACACACACACACAAACACACACACACACACACAGACGGAGCCGAGCGTCCGACTGACCGACTGCAAGGCATGCTGGGAAACTGGCGGCCCTCTGCTGACACTGACTGTGGTTGTTTTCAACTTCAAATTTTCATTTTTTATCTGTTGGCCTTAAATCTTAAATCTGCCTGAACTGACTGTGTTACTGAAACTGATGTTTGATCCTGTTCATCTCAGCAGGAAACAGAAGGAGGAGATTTATTATTATTTATTTATTCTGACTCCTTTTAACTCTTTGAAGCTGCTTCTATAACAACACACAGACATCATACAGACACTGATAGTGTTAGCGGTATATCTGTGGTAAAACTGCAGGAACCAGCTTAATTATCATGTTTTAGATGGTTTAGACAGAATGAAAAGT